ACACAAAAAAAAAAAAAAAAAAAAAGAAAGAAAGAAAAGAAAAGAAATGAAACTCAAATACATGTTAATTAAAAAAAAAACAACTAATAGATTAGTGGGATTTTGCATCATCAAACCTAGATATCATGCTTCCAGGGAATAGAGACTGTCTCTTCACTTTTTACTATCCCACAGTGCAGAATTTATATTTAATATGATTCACAAAATATTCACCAAATTAATTGGTACCTGCAAGCTACAAGATGATAAACTAAGCAGAAAAGTTTAATTCTTTTTTTGTTTGTGGAGTCCAAAAGAGAAAATGAAAATGAAGTCATATCTGGCCTTTTTTTTTTCCTCTATTACATTAATTAAATGTGGCCTCTTTCATTGGAATTACAAGATACTTTAACATCAATCATTCTTTACAAATGTTTTAAGAATGAAATTTTATATTGTAGGAGGGATCAATAATTAGGTAAGTTAGAGCTCACAATGAAATAATCATCAAACTGAGCTATGAAACAGAAGGGTCCTAGAGCTTACATTGTACTCTGAGAATTTATACTAGGCAACTTGGTTCAGATAAGTAACTATACTTTTACACATCTTGAAATGGCTTCTAGGTATTATCTATATCTTTATTTGTTGAAAATAAGCTATGAAACACTGATCATAGCTATGATTTGCTTTTTGATAAAACTAATACCTGGCATAGAAGTTTCAGAAACTTCCTAACTTTAATTTTGGCTGAATTGACTTATTTCCTTAAATTATTTCATATATTTAAAGGGGCAAATTAAGTTTAGTTCAGAAAAACCACTCACTTCAAATAAAATCTGATAGGATGAAAAAACAAACTGGTTAAGTTTTGTATTTTAAGATTCTACATTAATTTTTTTTCTCATTAGCTCCCTCTGTTTCTCACACACACACACAACAACAACAATAAAAAAACCTGACAAATTAATAAAAATATTAGTTTTGATATTTTTAAAATATGTATATATTTTTAAATATCTTTATTTATCTACTTTTATGTGGTGCTGAGGATTGAACCCAGTGCCTCACATATACAAGGCAAGTGCTCTACCACTGAGCCACAGCCACAACTGTAGTTTTTATTTAAGACTGTGAAAAAAAAAAAAAAATCTAAATTTTAAAGGCAAAAACTTTAGAGCAGAAGTAAATCTGTCAAATATGAATAAAATCATGAAACAAACCAAACTACCAATAATACTCTCAAATAAGGTTTTTCTTGAGGAAAAACTCCCTATCAGCCTTTCAAGTTCAGTGTCGCTTTAAAGTATCTTGTGTGTAATAATATCTAATGAAACAAAATACTTAAGACCCATTAAAAATCATAATGAAAAAGCAGACTTTCTACATGATCAATTTTTCTAAATTTATATTCTTTTCTGCTGCTAAAATTTTGTAAACTGTCCCCGTCTCCATCTTTAATACATTTTATCTTCTTAAATATGTATATTTGCACCCTTTCTTTTTCCCAATGACAAGCTTATACTTCAGTACCCAATCATCTTTCTGAATGCCTGCAATCTCAGCATCTATTCTTACTCTAACCCCTACAGTCTTCACCATCTTTGCCTTGAAACCCAAAGCCATACATTGTCACTGCTTAATACAACAATGGCAAGTTCTAATCTCCCAGATTCAAATAACCTCTACTAGAGAATTAAATGAATAAATTTTTTTTGCCATCCCACCTATGTAATACCAATACTGTCCTCCATATTTATATAGTACTTCACAATACACAAAGCCCTTGCTTTAGTCTCTAAGTTCAAAGAAATGTACTTACCATTTTCTTTGTTCAATAACCTGTTTCTATTTTAGGATTTTATCCAGGTTATCCTCTCTAAAAGTAAATCTGGAAAAGTCTTCTTTCTCAGATCATTAATACTTTCTAATTTGTAAAAGCACTCTTGAAATTTGGCAAGTACAAACTCAGTCTTAGGTATGTGACTTGCATCTTTAAAGTAAATATAATCTTTTATAATGTTAATATTTACCTGTGCACAACTGATCAAATGTACAATTATTGTGTATACAAATTTAACTTACCATACTTTTTTCAAAATTAGATTGAAGAAAAACCCCACAGTCCACAGTTAGCTTTGCTATATTTTATAAAGAGTAAACCTCTAGCACCATAGAAATTCTAACTGAAAATGTGTAGTGAAAGCCAAGTTCAAGGGAAATCCCCCAGAAAGTAGAAACATTTCAAAGTGCATGTATTCTTCACAGCATTCTTCTGTAAGAACAGATAATTATGAAAAGTAATCTGATTTGTATTGTATATAATGCACTATATTTAGATATAATGTAACCATTTTACCTGACAGCCTCAAATTCAGAAAAGTGATTTTGGGTGGTGGGGGGCATGTAAAGGGCTTCATATTCTATTCAAATAAAGTACTAAACATGAAAAAGTACCTCAAATTCATAAAGCACTATCCAGTACAATTTAAAATAACCTAGTATCAATGTGGGCTAATTATATTTAATAGCTAATTATAATCAAAACTTGAAATATGCTATGCTAGTTACCTCATTCTGTTATGAAGAGAGTGAATAAGGTAAAGTGGCTTTCAGATGGTCTCAGTAATGTACACTATTATACATTCCTTATGGCCAGCATGTCATACCAGAACGCATTTCTCCTTAAATGCAAATACAGTTATCCTCATTATTTGTGAATCCTGTATCGGTGAATTTTACTCATCACTAGAATGTATTTGTTATCTCAAAATCAGACATACACAGAAGCACAAGAAATTTGAATTGTCTGATATGCACATTTCCCAATATGCACATTTTCAATTACATGAACAAGGAATACTATCTGTGCCTTCTTGTTTCAGTTTGTGTACTGGAAACAAGTGTCTTTTTCTCTATCAGTGCCTTGGTTTGGCATTTTTGTGCTTCTTGTTGATCTCTCTGTTTCAAATGGCCTCCAAGTGTAGTGCTATATGCTGCCTAGTATTCCTTAGCACAAGGAGGCTGTGATATACCTCATGGAGAAAATGTGTGTATTAAATAAATCTCATTCAAGCATGAGCTACAGTATTGTTGCCTATAACATTTCAATATAATGAAGCAAAACAAAACAAAACAAAAAACACCAAAAACATGTATATAAAGATGTATTTAAACAGAGCACAAAAAATATAGGCTGGCAAAAATGTAATCCTGTATTTTCCTTGCAAACAATGGTTCAGTATGCCCTAATTCAGTGTCTGAGGCAACCTAAGACATAACCAGAACAAAAGCCAAGAACTATCTGTCTCACAAACAAGATTTCTTAATGAATTATAAATGAGAAGTACGAGAAGCTAAGAATGATTCCAAGGTTTCTTGCCTAAGAAAATGGAAGGATAGAAATGCCATCTATTGAGACAAAGACGAGTGGGAAAGCAAGTCTAGGGGACAGAAAAAGTTTAATTGTAGGCATTAAATTTAAGATATTCAAGAAAGTCATCCAAAGGGCAAGTTTTATATAAATTAGGACTTAGGTCTCAGTGGAGACAGAAACAGAACTACTGGTACACCTAAGAGGCTTAAGACCAAGAAAGGTAGGAGATCACTAAGGGAGTAGACAGAGAAGAGGACCAAGAAGAGGCTGAGAAGAGGCACAGAAACATCAGGGAAACAGTGAACCAGGAAGCCAAAGTGTGGTATCAGGAAGACAAGTGAAAAAAAAAATTAAGAAAGAGATGGAGACAACTGTCTAGAAAGCCACTGGAAGTCAAATAGCATGGAGAACCCTGAACTGTCAGGGGAGTGATGCAGGCAAACACCTGCTCGGGGCAGGTTTAAGAGACTGCAAGAGAAGAATTAGAGAAAAGTGTTGGCAACTCTCAAAGAAAGCAAATTTAAGTAGTAGGGTATAGGGCAAATGAGGTCAAAGAATTTGGTGGTGCTTCCTTTGGCTTATTTCTTTTTTAAGTTGGGAGAGATGCTTGTATGCCACTATTTATCTGTAACAGTACAATAGAGACCAAAGAAAAAAGAACTTAAAGAGGAGAGTGCAGAATTCCTGGAACTTTAACATTTTCAGGATTATTAATACTAATAATAACAAATTTGTGAGATTCAATATATATTATAATTCTAGGTGCTGATCTGAATGTTGTTACTAAGTTTTAAAGATTTCTTTTGGGACTCTCTTTTTGTGCTGAGTATATTTCAATCCTTCCACCAATAATTACAACCTATCTTAGATTTCTTTAAATTAAAACTCCACTATATCTTCAATATACCTAAGAATTTTCTAACTAAAAGTAATCATTAATTCAACATCATTATAAAAACACAATTAGCTCCATATAAACCACAACATCATTATCACAATGATGAAAAATTAATTGAAAGGGAAAAAGGTGTTTTTACTCACTTTTAATCCAGCTGCATAGCCCACTGGTTGTGGGGCAATATTAGATTGTCCAGCTTCCCCTATAACCACAGCTAAGCCAAAGACTTCCTGAAAGGCATCTCGGACAGCAGCCACTTTTACTTCTTTATTTGAAGTCACCACAATATCCAGCTCACCTCCAGATTCTACAAAAAAGATTACAATTCCAAATTAAAATAATGAAATTCTCATAATTACTACCATACCATATGCTAATATTTACATAATTACTCCAACTTCATAAAACCAGGCAAGATAAAAATCATTACCATTTTTGTATGGCTAAGGAAACTGAAGCTGACAAAGTCTTGCCTTAGGCAACACTGCTGTTTAGTGCTCATGTCAGGACCTGAACCCTCTTTTTACCACACCATTTGATATAATCAGATACATTTTTCACCCTTTAATCAAGTATAAGAGCATCTCATTCCAACATGTGATTAGCCCCAAACTGCTAATTTTTTCTGAGTTTTAAAAATAGGAATTTAATACAGTATATGAAGGAGTCTTAAATGGTACATACCTTCTAATAATTCTGAGTATCATATCTGCCATAACTAGGATATTTTTTGGTAGTCTATGAAATGTTACTGAATACAACAGTAGTTTGCCTGAAAACAGTATTCTGTAGTCAAACACTGTGGGAGATACTGCACACTGCATCCCCTTCTGTGAAATTCACAACATACACTGACAGAACAGAGATTCTGAGAAATCTCACAAATCATGAGTTTAGCCAAGTACTTCCCACATTTAATCTGTTCATTGAATACTTTTACAGCATCTAATAATGGTTCCTAAAAGTACTCCACAGATTATTTATTTGGGAATTGATGACACAACAGATATGAAAACAGCTTATTTGTCTACTACACTAATTTAGCTAAGCTTCTTCTAATTAAAATTTGGGTGGAGACATTAATTGCATTTTTAAGATTATAAATACAAATAATTATTCTGTTATTAGTTAATAAAAACAGATACTTATTATATGAAACTTCTAATACCATGTGCTTGCCAGTTTGCAGTCCTTCAACTATACAGCAATCCTAGACTTAAACTTCCAACTTGTGAAGTATAAGTTATATATTTGTGATATTCCAGAAAATGAAAATAAAAACTACTACTAATGGCAAGTGGTGCATCAAAGAGTTTCATAAAAACTATGAACTAAAAACAAGAACTCTCATAACATATGCTTTTTATCAAAGAAATAGTTTCAGTATGGGGATCATCAAATTTTTTATTCTACATCTTCATCATTTTTTAAAAAAGCATTTATCACACATTTATTTGTAAATTACACATGCACTACTGTCCTAATAAAAATATTTAAGCATATCTGAAAACCGAAATAATTTATGAAATTTGAAATTTTAAAAAGGTGAGTATACCACATTTTATTCATCAGTTCAAATACTTTAACTTTCAATTATACTAAAAACCTGTGTTTTTGTCAGAGTACTAATCTCCAGGATATATAAAGAACTCAAAAAACTTAATACCAACTAAACAAACAACCCCATCAATAAATGGGCTAAGGATCTGAACAAATACTTCTCAGAAGAAGATACACAATCGATCAACAAATATATGAAAAAAGGTTCAGCATCTCTAGCAATTAGAGAAATGCAAATCAAAATTACTCTTAAGATTTCATTTCATTCAGAATGGCAGTTGTCAAGAATACAAACAACAATAAGTGTTGGAGAGGATTTGTGGGGAAAGGCATACTCTTACATTGCTGGTGGGACCACAAATTGCTGCAATCAATCTGTAAAGCACTATGGAAATTCCTTGGAAAACCTGGAATATAACCACCATTTGACCCAGCTATCCCACTCCTCAGTCTATACCCAAAGGACTTAAAATCAGAATACTATAGTAATGCAGCCACATCAATGTTTACAGCAGCTCAATTCACAATAGCTAAACTATGGAACCAAGCTAGATGCCCTTCAACAGATGAATGAATAAAGAAACTGTGCTATATATACACAATGAATATTACTCAGCATTAAAAGAGAATAAAATTATGGAATTTGCTGGAAAATGGATGGAGTTGGAGAATATGCTAAGTGAAGTAAGCCAATCCCAAAAATGTTCTAATAAGTGGATGCTGATACATAAGGGGGGTGGGTAGGATATGTGAAAAATGGAGGAACTGTAATTGGGCAAAGTGGAGGGGAGAGGATATGAGGGCAGGGATGATGGTAAAATGAGCTGGACACTCTCACACTAGGTACATGTACGACTGCACATGTGGTATGATACTATATCATGTACAACCAGAGAAATGAAAAGTTGTGCTGCAATTGTGTACAATGAATCAAAATGCATTCTGCTGTCATATATACCTAATTAGAATAAATTAATTAATTTTTAAAACCCTGTGCTTTATTTCTAAATATAACTATTTGACCAAGTATGTTTCATTATTTTAAAAAATCTTAATCTAATATTTTGCGATACAAGTTGAGTATTATCCCTTATCCAAAATGTTGGAGATTAGAAGTGTTTTGGATTTCCGAATTTTTCAGATTTTGTAGTATTTACCTATATATACCTAATGAGATATTCTGAAGACAGATCCATGTCTAAATGTTAAATTCATGTCTATTCCATATACACCTATACACATAGCTGGAAGGTATACTATTTTTAGTGAGTCTGCATTTTGACTGTGACCTATCACAGGTCAGGTGTGGAATCTTCCACATGTGCCATCACAACAGTACTCAAAAACTGTCAGATTGAGCATTTTGACTTCAGATTTCAAGATTAGTGATGATCAACCAGCATGGTAAATTCAAAGGCCTGGTTCTAAGCACAGTATATTCTGATATTTAATAGCCATTAATGTCTATCCTTGGTAAAAGAGATATCTCATGAAAGATGTTTGTAAGTAAAACATCTGCCTCAAAAGCAAGGCTATTTTTTCCAACTAAATATCTGTGGAACAACTGAATGTTATTTTTTATCAAAGACTCCTTCTCCTTGATTATGTAATATTCCACAGATCACTTCTCAACTGGGAATTTCAGCAGTTATCAGAACCTACAAGCAAAGGGTCACATAGCAAAGAGAAGAATAAACACTCCTTTCTCACTTTTTCTTCCACGTGGGACATGTCATTTTTTTTAAATTGATGAGTATAATTATACATAATAGTGAAATTCATTATTATATATTCGCACATGTACACAGTAGATCAATATAATTGACATATCTTGACTATCACTAAATACTGATCCATTCAGCTGCAGCTCAAAGGCTTTTCAGTTTGTGATGAGTGGCCCTGTCTTTAATGATAATAAAGAGAACTAGTTAAAAGAATTTAGAAAGATCCAATTTGGAGGCAATTAAAATCTGTTTCTCACAGTTCTTGTGATTTCTTTGATATATTTGAAATTTTATATCAAGTGATTTCTAACATATTTGTGTAAAAATGCCATAAGTTTTATTGAGTTTTGTTAGATCAGAATGGTATTGCTTTTGCTGTCAGTAAAGTGTCAGCTTTTACACACTGTTGTATCACATACTAAAGGTAACTAATTATATGTTGTCATAATAACAGAAATTTCATTTCTATATCTTTCTTCACCACCCCCGCCTTTGATTTTATGCCTTTTTCTTGATGTTGTGCAGATTACTGGTTTGAGAAATTATCTTGGGTTGGAGTTCTGGCTTTATCATTTATCAGCTTTGTTACTTTGGGGAAGTCACTGAGCTTGTTTCTTTGTAGAAAACTACCTGCCACCACCTGCTGTAAGGATTAAATAATTGCTTTTACAGTCTAACACAGACTACATCCATTAAAATAGCAAAACCTCCAAAAATATACATTTCTTTCCTTCATTCAAAATACATACTTCTGAAGAAAAGAATATATATAATGCATTAAGTATGTCAAACTGGTTATTACGAATATACAAAACCAAATATATAGAGAGTCAAACTTCTCAATTCTTAGACTGTTAGAAACATAAAGAACAACTGAATTGGTCTAATTTTTTTTTAAGTTTCATAGGCACTTTTTATTTGATATAATTTAATTCAGAGAATTATCACAAGACTACTTTTTTCATTCCACAATGAGTCAGCTTATTTTAGAAAGGGACATACAAAATTAGCTATGTTGTCATGGTTTCTTGGCTTCTAGGAGTTCTTGTGAGATGCCTTTGTATTTTCACTTGATATATCTCAGCACTATTTTATTTTTTATTTATTTATTTTTCTTATATATGCCATTCTTTTATTTTTTTAATTTGTTTTAATTAGTTACACATGACAGTACAATGATCTTGACATATCATACATTTGAATCAGATGGGGTATAATTTCTCATTTTTCTTGGACTAATTTTTGATTGAATTTTCTACTTCAAGGGAAGCAAAGTGGCTAAAATGTAAAAACTTAAACTTGGATTCAATCTAGCTTCACCAAGCTATGTGTATGTGACCCAAAATAATTACTAACACATCTTTGAATTCAATTTCCTGACCTAAAATTTGAGAAAAATACCTACCTTCCAGAACTCTTATGAGAATTAGTACCTGGCAGAATAAGTATTCAATAAATGGTACTTAATCATTGCTAGGTCTTGTCCACTGACATGTACTAGACAGTGAACTAACAACAGAGTTAAGACCAGTGAATGCTCTTGATTTTATACTAACACTAAAAATAATTTTCCTATGTACCTATATGAATACAGCATAGTGAATCTTACCATGATGTACATCAACAAGATTGGAGCCCTAATTAGAATAAGATATATTCTGTGATTGTATAATTATATCAAAAATAGATTCTACTGTCACATATAACTATTAAAAATAATAAAAAATATAAACAAACAAATTTCTGTTTGAGTACCTGTAATAAAGCTCTGGTTTGCAAAAGATTTTCTATAGGATTACTAATAATGGTTTCTGACCTAGATAAGAGATATTACTTTACATACTGAATATGTATACAAAAGCTAAATAATAGAGAGTATCTCTATGCCAACTGTCTGAAGGATTCTTGGTGATAGGAGCTTAAAGGCATTTAAAATAGTTCTCCCAACAAATCTAGTAAACATTTATTATTAATAACTAGATTAGCATCCTTAAAAATATTATTCTTGACTTAAGCATACATACATTATCTAAAACAACTGGAAAAAATCCCAAACCAAGTATGAACAAAAGCATCACTTCAAATGTCAACAGTGAATAAAATAAAACAAATTAATACAAAGCAGTACTAATTTATATTTTTAAGAAAATAAGTAATGACACTAAAAATTCATATTGTTTTTACAGTCTATTCTGTGGAGTTTTCAAAACTTATTTAATGGTGACTAAGCAAAGGGTGAATTAATAGCACCAAAGCTAAGATGGACACCTTAATACAAGAATATAAGAGGAATGTCCACATGACCAATGGAAATGAACTGAGAATTACAATTAGTGGCTGACATTTATGCACACTTTAAAACATGGCAGATACGTTTAACTTATATACATACTAATATATGGAGCCATGCCAGGGTCCAGCGTTGTAATCATGCTTTCTACTGAATGTTTTGTCTTATCAAGCACAGACTTCACCATAGGATTTCCAGCCACACCCTGCATGAAACAAATTAGTACATAAATTCATAGATACTCATTCAAAACAAAGAATATCATGAACTTTTTGACTGTGAGGAAAATTTTTAAGTTTACAATGCATCCCAGACCAGAACTTTTTAAAAATATTCATATATAAAAAAATGAGGTTGGAGCAATGTAAATTGTTATTATTAATATTTCTAAATGGTCCTCTCAAGTTCTCTTCCCGTTGGCATCACAGATCCATAGCTGTGTGTAAACTAGCAGCAATCTTCAGACCACATTTTGAATAGCCCTGGCCTGGAATGTATGATATTCTATGTACATTTTATTTATAAATATATTTTTATACTTCATCTCTACTTATTTACCTAAAATATTAGATGAAACATCCCTCAGGTTCTCAAATACAGACTGGAATCTGATGTCTATACATATCCATACTCTGTTCCCTAATACACAAAAATAGTAAAAAAAACAAAAACAAAACAAAAAAACCACTTTTCATTTGCATCCCCCTGAATGGTTCCCTATTACTTTAACATATAACATTTAGCTATCTTCTTTTAAAGTTTCCTTTCTTCCTACTTCCAGTTTCTCATTTTGTTCATTCCCATTCTCTTCTCAGCCAGACCTCTTCCTCTGGAGTCTTAGAACCACACTGTTAGGCTGAGGAACCACATCTCAGGGCCCATTCTTTCCTTCTGCTTCTCCCAGAGTGAAAGCACCTGAGGAAGCAGTGCCTCCTGAGATGGCATCTGAGTAATAAGTCAGATGCCCTCTCTCCTAACTTACCATTAAACTAAGGCAACTCAGAACAAGATGAGTTCCTGAGACTGAAATTTAAGACTACCTACCAACTGCATGCTAGGAACCATGAGCTATTACTATTCCAAGCCCTGGAGAGCTAAGCTGGGGATGACGAGTGGAAAGAGAGACGTTCTTGGCAAGGGATAAAATAGTTATAGTCTCTATGCAAAGAAAAGTTTAAAAAAATTGTTTTGTAGTTGTAGATGACAGAATGCCTTTTGTTTATTTTTTATGTGGTGCTGAGGATTGAACCCAGTGCCTCATACATATACTAGTCAAGTGCTCTGCCACTGAGCTACAGCCCCAGCCCACAAAGAAAACTTTTAAATTACAAAATATTTTTTTAAAAAGGAAGCTCTGAACAACGCCAGTCATAAAACATGAAGCTTAAATAATGTAAAATTTCACTGAATCACTTACCAATGTAAAAAATATTTAACATATGTAAAAAAAAAAAAAAAAACCTTCAGAATATTGGGAGTAATTTGGCAGAATGATTCCAACATTCATTGATAAAAATAAGTGGGAAAGACCAACAATTAATGTTTTGTCTCAATAAGCACAGATAAGACACAACATTTGAAGACAAATCAGCGAGCTTATGCAACTGAATACTGACATATTTTTGAATGGAGAGACTTCAACTGCCCTCTCTATCGTATGCATCACTGAATGCCCCCCATACCCATCTCAGCACACAGCAGGCTTTCAATATATACTAGTATAATAAATGAGCCTAGAGTTAAATTAACCCAGGATGTTATTTATCACTGTGCTAGATCTTTTCCCATATAACATCTTCTTGGGACCCCTGTCCCTACCCTGTCCTTTGTCAAACACTGTATTAATTTCTTTCTGTTGTTTTGCCTTATTTAGGGTGTCATATATGAAATAAAATATGGCTTAATTTTCACTTAATATAATGCTTTTGAAATTCATCTGTTATTGGAAGAATCCAATTGCTGAGGAGTATTCCATTGTATGGATATATAATTTTTCAATCCATTCAGCAGTTGGTAGATGCTATGATTTGGATGTGTTTTGTCTTCTAAAGGCTCATGTGCTAGAAACTTGGTTCCCACTGCAGTGGAGCTGAGGTTGTAAAACTTCTAGAAGTGAGGCCTAGTACAGGGTGATTAGGTCAGAGCAGCACTGCCCTCAGAAGAGATTAATACTGGTTTCATGAAGTGAGTTAGTTCTTGTAAGAACAAGTCGTTATAAAGCAAGGCCATCCCACAGGCTCAGCCCCTTCTACGTGTACTTCTCTGCCATGTTATGATGCAGCCAGGAAGGCCTTCACCAGAGACCAAACAGATAGAACCACTGGATCTCGGACTTTCAGCTTCCAAAACTTCAAGCTACCTAAACCTATTTTCCTTGTAAAGTACACAGCATTAGGTATTTTGTTAAAACAATATACAACAGATAAATGCAGTAGATGTTTAAGATGGCTACTATTAATATTCATGTACAAAATAAAATAAACAGTATGCTAATACTGAAAAGAAAGGCAGAGGGAGTAGAATAGAGTTTAGAAGCTGACATTAACATACAATTTAGTAACTAAAATAAAGGTGACATATCAAGTCATTGGTGACATGAGGTTCAACAGTCCATTAAGTAGCTGAAAAATAATTGTTTGAGCTCTACCTCATATAGTAAAGTCTTTCGGCTATATTAAATAGATATAAAAAATGAAATGATAAAAACCTTAGAAGATATCAAAGAAAAACATTCATCAAATATTATGGCTAAGAAAAGGTCTTTTTTTCTTTGTAGCATAAAAACGTAAAATTGAAAAGAGATTTACAGAAATGACTCCTAAAATTTTAAGAACTTTGTGTCAAAAAGGATAATAAAATTAAAATAAAGAAAACTGCAACATATGATATGGACTAGGGAAGTGGCTCAGTGGTAGAGTGCTTGCCTGGCATGTATGAAGTCCTGGGTTGGATCCCCAGTACCAAAAACAAAACAACAACAACAAACCTTAGGAATTCTTACAAATTCAACAAGAGAAAAGAAAGTTATCACAAATTAAAAATAAAAAAAAAGAACAGAATTCGCCAAAAAAAAAAGTGGCAAAAAATCTCAAGAAAATATGTTCAAATTCAGTACCTAGCAAAGAAATACAAATTAAAATGAGGTTTTGAAATTTTTTGCCTATTAAATCATAAAATACTCTATTTCAAATTAACAACTAGTGCTGCCAAATGAAAAATGCTGAACAATGTATGTTGGCATAATACATGATTTTTAAAATGTCTACTTGAACATTGACCAGAAATTGAATCAGAGATAACCATAAAGATTTACATACAAGAATGCTCATCATAATTTTATTGATAAGAATAATGCTCATCATAGTTTTATCGATAAGAATTACAATTAGGAGAAACTATACAACATGGTGACTTATACTTAACAGCAATGGGTTGATTCTTGAAAAATCACTGAGAATAGATTTCAAGTTTTCTCACGATAAAATTATATGTGAAGTAACGCATATGTTAATTGACTCAATTCTGTTATTCTACAATGCCTACATATTTTAAAACATCATACTGTATATGATAAATCTGTATAATTTATTTCTGAATTAAAATTAACTCACTAATTTTCAAAAATTACAATTAGAGAATGTCAGTATTAGATCTGTAAAATAACAAATGGGAAGTAAATGCAATAGAATGCATATAAAGTAGCCATTAAAAATGCACTCTGAAAAATATTTTATGGATGGGAAAATGTTCATGATAATTACTAGGTAAAGACAAACAAAAAAACACAAAATAATACCCACATCACTATCTATTTGAATTTAATTAACAGAATACACAAATATCCATAAATATGCACAAACAACAGATTACAGCAACCACAGAAAACTCATAAGAAAAAGGACTTTTATTCTTTCCTTATGAATTCTGTACTTTAAAAATTTCTCTAATGAACACCTATCAGTTTTATAATTAGAAAATTAAATATAATTTTAAAGTAAATATTCCTTACCTTAATAAAACCCCAGATTCCACCAGCAGATGCTTCATCCTGACCTCTATTAATCCTAGGATCTTCTTGTTCCTCTGGGAAAGTGATGGCTGATGTGGTTCCAGTTCCCGGTGCCAGAGATGTCAGACTAGCTTGCTGAGTAATAGGAGTTGGCAAAATACCTATTCAATGGAAAAAATTTTAATATGTTAATTTATTCCACAAACTTTGTTCCTGTAACAAGACAAAGCAAATAAGTAGCTTAAAACAATTTTAATAATGTAACCACACAGTTAAGCATTTCAAGATTAAGTTATACAATTGCAAAAAATTTCTTTCCCTTTACATAGGCTTACACCAAGTGTCCTAAAAAAGGACAAATACACACGCATGTGCATACACATATATATATAAAAAAGTTTTGCATGCTTGTCCCATTTAGCACTTGGATACAGACAGCTGTAGTTCTAATCTCCTTAATCCACAAAATAATTGGGCAACAAGCCCATCATTAAAAAACATAACAATCAGTACATATACTTCAATTTAACACAAAAATAAAATTCACATAAACAGACAAGGGTATAATACCTGTACTCTGTAATAAATTTTGTTTGTAAAGGCAGATAAGCAAAGTTGGATAACAGAAAAATTACAGCAATGTTGTTTATTTTCCCTAAAATGAGAAACAACAGGCAGAATATGACAAGGATCATGTCCCCACAAAAACTTGAACACAAACTTCATAGCAGCATTATCTAAATAACCAAAACATGGAAGCAACCTAACATCAACTGATGAACTGCATAGCTAAATACACTAGATCTATTATTCAGCCATGAGAGGAATGAAGTACAGACACATGCTATAAAATGCACGAATCTTGAAACTATTTTCAGCTAAACTGATGCTAGTCAGAAAGACCAGTTATTACATGATTCCATTTATATGAAATGCCCAGAATACACAAACCCATTAAAAAAAAAAATCACTGGTAACAGATATGAAGTTTCTTTTTCTGTTGATAAAAGATTATGAAATGGATTATGGCAATGTATGCAAAATTTTGTAAATAAACAAAAATTAGTGATTATATGAACTGTATTTCAATAAGGTTGGAAATTTAAAAAGAATAAAACATTTACTATAGCCATATATTTCAAAGCATTAATAAGAGAAAACTACCTGTTACTGGAGGTGCAGAAAATGAGGGCATCAGAGGTGTCTGGGGAGCTCTTCCTGCATGTCCCCTTGTAATATCATAAGTTGTACCAACAGAAAATCCTGATATAGGAGGACCGGAAGCGGGTGCAGGTAAGAGAGCACTCGGGGCAGAAGTTGAAGGTGGAAAGTGGGATAAAGGAGGACTGGTGAAGGCAGCAGCAGTTGATGGAGAAACAGCAGGTGGCCCAGAAGTACCAAGTGGTGGAACCGAAGGAGCTGGTACAGGAGGCACAAAAGGTAGTGGTGCTGTAGGCTGCACTGGAGGATGGGCTGGTGAAGGAGTAGGATAGACTTGTGGTGGCAAGGAGTCCACCATAGACACATTAGGAGAAGAAAAAGAACTGGATGCAGCTGGAAAAAAAGTGGAGAGGATAAAAATCACAAAACTGAAAATACTTTTTATTTAATCATCAAACTCTCATTAGTGCCTTGCAAAATTTTTTAATTTAACAGACCATATCCCAAGAATTAAAATATGTAATTTAAGATATACAATATGATTGAGCGCAAATGATTATCAACTCCCCTAACTAAAAGCAGCAGGCAATACTGAAATGCATATGGCATTGTTAACAAGTAGATCTGTCTTTTTTGGTGTATTTGAATAAAATAAAACTATTTTTCACCCCTGGTTTGTAGATAAAAACCTATACACAGAAAACTCAAAAAATCACCACAAAGTCATTGAACACCAGACAAAGAAAATACATGCTTTTTAGGACATTTCTATCATAGTAAAAAAGATGACTTGTAGTCAATATAAATATAAAAAGAACAAAATCAACCTAATATAAAATATTGGTATTTTCTAAATCAACCTAATATAAAATATTGGTATTTTCTAAAATAGCAATAAAGTAAGACTATTTCTTTCCATTCTTTAAATTTAAAAAAGGCTATTTTCTTTCATCCTGACAAATATTACAGAAAGTTTAATATATTCTTCTTTTAATTGATTCAGAAAAGATAACAGTGTCTTCATTTTCCTCAAAACACACTAGGTAAGGGCTGGAGATATAATTCAGTTGGTAGAGTGCCTCACATGCACAAGGCCCTGAGTTCAATCCTCAGCACCAAAACAAACAAACAAACAACCACACTAAGTATGAGACAACACATGTACCTATAGGAACAGGGGTAGAAGACATGGTGGCAGCAGCCAGCCCTGCAGGATTCGGTGGAGGAGTCCCAGGTGGTGTTGTCTCTATTCCACTTTCTTCCATCATTTTTCTTCAACAATGGTATGCTGCAAAAATGTAATAAATTTCACACAGTAACCAAAATTATACTTTTAAAGCTTACATAGTTAGAGAAAGAGTAATCATTAAAAGACAAATGTCTGCCTTTACTATTTATAATATAACTTATTTACAGATGACAGACTTATCAAAATTCCTAAGAACAAGGTCTACGAAATTATCTATGAAAAACAATCTGTGATATTTCCACACATACTCTATAGTTAGAAAATAATTTTATGTTAACTATATAACCAACATTTCAAGTAGCAAATTGCCACCATTGTCTTATTTTCTGCCATATGAATACATACTAAAGTTATGCCTAGATTCTGGTCACTATTTTATTTAAAATAAAAATAAAACACTTGACGTAGCTTTGAAATCCATCTTCTTCCCTCATAAAGCAGTCTATTTAGGTTGCATCAATTAACATTACAAAAATTTCTAAATATGCTTGACTTGATAAAGTATTAATCTCTTCCCACAACTCTTAACATTTTATGTTAACAATGTGCTCAACTTGGTAAGTGCATTCATTTATCATTTCCCTAGTTCACATTGTAAAGGACACTTAGTAACAGCTAAATGATATGTCTCAGGTTTTAGAAATGTTAACTACCAAAAAAATGCCACTAGAGAGCAAACTCCCAACAGATGATAATAGATTATAAAACATAGGAAAACTTCCTTCACAAATCTTAAAGTTCACCTCAAGTATAAACCAACCTCTAAACATGCCTAATTTGTTTTTAATGTTTTTTATTAATGTAACAGACATTCAACAAAGGTCAACTGCTTCCTAAGCACTATATTGGTATCTCTACACAATCAAACAATAACACCAATATACAATGACACCTATACAATACAATAATACCAATGTACCGATGTAGTCTGAATTATGTACCATGAGGGTAGGAAGAGCTGTTTGACAGAAATATGATTTTGACTTGGAAGCCAGGAAAAGGGTCCCCCAAAGAAGTCACAGAACTGAGATCTGACTACAACAGGGCAGAACTACAAAAATGGCAAGGAAGGGGACAGAGAAGCCAGTTAACAGTGAACATAGGTCTAAATACAAGGTAAGGTAAAGTGGGCAAGACACATTCAAGAATACTAGTGTGGGCTGGGGATGTGGCTCAAGCGGTAGCGCGCTCGCCTGGCATGTGTGCGGCCTGGATTCGATCCTCAGCACCACATACAAACAAAGATGTTGTGTCCACCAAGAACTAAAAATTAAATATTAAAAAACTCTCTCTCTCTAAAAAAAATAAATAAATAAAAAATACCTGTGTGGTAAAGGTAAAAAAAAAAGAATGAGGACTGGAGAGAAGCAGGAGTCAAGACTGTGTTGGGTCCTATCAGCCAGGTTAAGAAGATGAACTTTATTTTGTTTAAAGAACAGAATGTCACTATAAAGCATTCAAGCTGGACGTAGCATATTTGTCTTTTAACTTCCTTGAAATTTTAAATTCCTAGGAAGATGCAAAACTAGTAGAGTTTTTCAGTATCCCAAAGCCAGTTTCTCTCAATAACAGCAAAACGTTACTAAATAACCACGTTACTTAAATACATTATCAAACCAGGAAATTGGCATTGGTACAGACTATTTACTAACCTACAGGCCTTATTTCAATTTCACCTGTTTTTATATTCACTTGCATAATGCCTCTGAGATTCATCCAAGTTGTTGTATGTAACATGAACTACTTTTCATTACTGAATAGTATTCTATTGCATATGTGTCATTGTGTATCCATTTACCTGATGAAGGACATTTACACTGATTCCGGTTACTAAAAATTCATTATTTGTGTACTGAAAAGTACGCAGACTAGGCCATCTCACAGACAAATCAGAGACTACTCAGAGAGTAGTTCAAATAGGAGGTGCCAATAACTCAGAATACTGATTCTCATAACAAGGAGGGGGTGATTATGCACTACCCAGTAGGGTTGTGTTGGCAACATCTGCAGATATTTTTTGATTATCATCACCAGAGGGGTACTGCTGGTATCTAGTTTGTAAAGGCTACAGATACTGTGAAAAAACCCTCAATATACAACTCATCCATAAGAATTATCTGGTCCCAAATGTTAGTAGTGGCAGGTTGAGAAACTCTAGCCTAGACAAAGGGGATGATGATGGAGATAAATTAGATGGATTTAAGAAATGTATAGGTGGTAGGGCTGGGGTTGTGGCTCAGTGGTAGAGCGCTCGCCTAGCATACACGAGGCACTGGGTTTGATCCTCAGCACCACATAAATGTAAAATAAAGATATTGTGTCCACCTAAAACTAAAAAATAAATATTGAAAAAAAGAAATGTATAGGTGATAAAACTCAGTGACTGGTGAGGTAGATGGGGAAGAGGCATGGTTTGCAAAATTGGATGAGGAACACTATAAGAAGTCAATGCTGATGTTGTCTTTGGAGGAAGAGGGTTGGGATCACAAGGTGTTTTGTCTTTGACATGCTAATAAGTTCAAACTCCTTGATACATCCACGCAGGGACATGGAGTTGGTCTGGAGTGCAGAGACCACACAAGTCTGGGTGTCACCAATGTACTGATCTAAAATCATGTTCTGAGATGAGATTATCTAGGAGACTGTGACTTTATATTTAATTTTATTTAGTTAGGTAGTAAATCAATATGCAGAAAATGAGATGGTCAGAAAAACAAGAATATAAGGAGACTGTGGTGTCCAAATGACAAAAGAGTGTTTCAGGGCACAATAACAGTATTAAATACTGCGCAGAAGCCAAAAAGAACACTATCTGAAAGGTTCATGATTTGCAAATTAGCCATGAACTTGATGAGAGCTGTTTTCAAAGAAAGAGTAGAGATAGAAACTAGTTTGAATTGGATTGAAGATTGGAGGGGTGGGGTGAGACAAATAACAAAACTTTAACTAAGTGGCAAGGCACAGGCATGTAATCCCAGTGGCTCAGGAGGCTGAGACAGGAGGATTGCATGTTCAAAGCCAGCCTAAACAACAAGCAACTCATCCGTGGCTCTAAAAAAAGTACAAAATAGGACTGGGGATGTGGTTCAATGGTTGAGTGCCCCTAAATTCAATCCTGGTAAAAAGTTTGGCTGTGAACAGAGAGGAAAGATCTATGGCACTAACATAAGACAGGGAGGTAAATTCTTTCATTCCATACCTATATCCAGAGGTAAGTAACCTGAGACAGAAATGCCCCTCCGGGGGTCTTATCACTTCCCATAATTCTTCATCATTTTTTTCATCAGTCATTCCTCTTCCTACAACATAAGTGAATTCTTACAATGAGTAGTGGAGGTTGTATTTTAACACAATGCTGATCCCAAACATTAGCAAATGCATTGGCAAAAGAACTTGTACAATGAACACAAAGTCATTGCATTAAAAAGCTTTACTAGTTGAGAAAAGGTTTAATGGGAATACTGGTGTAAATTTTTAATATCATAACTTCTACTAAAAAAAACTATCATGATAAAATAACATTGAGACATCAGTTGGTAAAGCTTTTAAGGGAAAAAAGTAATAGTATTAATATATCGAGATGCAAGACAATATAATGAGAATGGTTTCGACAACTGCGTCCTCAGTCTCTTCCCAAATTCTGCTATTCTAATTTCCTTGGGCCTTGTTTGTTTTTTGTTTTTTTGTTTTTTAAAGTGGATAACTACCTGTAAGAAAATAAATGGAATAACAGAGCTTTGATGAACTTTAAAGTCTTAAAAAACATTATTACTTTTGAGGTACTAAGAGCCACATGATTGCCTCTACTACCAGTGAGCACTAGAGCACTGTGTTTTCTCCACATTCTAAGCTCAGTTCCCAAAATTAACTCCCCTAAATGTTCACTGACTGAAATAATGTCTGCACAGGGCTGGAATGCCAAAATGTGTCACGATCGCAGAAATGTACATGTTGTCTCTCAAAACAACTACTTTTGACCAAAAAAAGAACAACAACAACAAAAAAAAAAAAAACCCTCTCCTGGGCATATATTCTGCCAATCTAGGAAACTGGCTATTCTACAAATTTGACTGAAACGGGTCCCAAGATCAAACAAAGGGAGAGTGCAAAAGCCCTCTGGAGCAGCGGTAGATACCTAGGAGAGAACATCGGGGGAAAATAAGCTTTCTCCCAATGCCAGTCCCGGTTGGTTAATGCTCAAACTCTCCAGGGCCACAGAGACCGAAATCCTATTGCACGAGACGGCGGCCATCCTCCAGGTTCTGCCACGTCCCCAGGCCGGGCAGGGCCGGGCTAAGGTCCGTAGGCGCCAGCCGCCGGTCTCTTCCTGTGGCCAGCGCGCTGGAAGGTGGTGTCAGCTGTCCAGAGGCTGCAACCTCGGCCCAGGACAGAAGCAATGTCCGAGAAGAGACCCCTCACCCCCACCCCCCCGAACCGCAAGCACCATGCAATCCGCGGTGGGGACTCACCCCTTGTGATGCGTGCCCCTGCCGGCTACACACCGCAAGCTCCCACCGCGGCGCTGGGCCTGCGCTGCCGGGGGGCCTGGGAAACGACCCCCGAATCCCGCGGCGCCGGCGGCCCGCCCACCTCCCCGGGGCGCGACCCGAGTCCGGCTTTGGCGCCAGCATCCCACACCACCGTCCTCGTGCACGCGCGTAGCTGCAGGGGTGACACTCACCTGGGGTCCCGAGCGAGCGCGTGTGTGACAGGCACAAAGTGGGGAATAGGGAGGTCACGGTGTAGAACTATGGCTGGAGAACACAAGGAAGATGCACTCCAAAGCTCACCTCTGCGCGTCCCCGCCTCCAAGATGGCCCCCGGCTGCGCGCGACCCTGCGGCTGCCACGTCGTCGCGCGTCGCCCCGCCCCGCGCCTGGCCGCCCCGCCCCGCGCTCCAGGCTGACTAGAGCCCCGGCTCTTCCTCTCCGTCCGAAGATCATCTGGACCGCTGAGTTTTGGCTGTTCCTGCCCACTGTAGGATGGTCCCCCATAAATTTCCCCTCCGCAGCCCCCACACTGCGAACAGCAGCCTTGCTCCCATGGGTAGCTCGACCTGTGCCACAATCGCCCACAGAATGGAGATAAAGTCAGCCAGCGCCATCAAGTCCAGTCCCCACCTTCAGGAAGGACCTTGCTCCAGATAGAGGGAACTTATCCGTAGCAGCGATGGGGAAAAGGGACTTGGGAATGGAGCAGGGGGAGGGGGAGAAGGGTGTCATTTACTGTACTGATTTTTCCCCCAAGTACATATATTGCACTTTTTTTCCAGTTGAAAAACCGAAGACATTTTTTTTTTCCTTAGCTGCACAAGTTAGTTATTTTGATTATAAATTAACGGAAGTCTACATTAAATGCACATCTTATAAAATGATCACTTTGAGAATATATAAAAACTGCTGGAACAAACTTTTGTTATTTCTGATACTCTTGTAGCTTCAACTAGACAATTCCCTTCCCAACCATAAATTCAAGACGTCAAGCCATTTAAAAAGACTCATAACTGTGCCAGCAGGTGGAAATTATGAACATCCCCCTCTTCAATTCAATTGCCTTTTTTATCCTAGTATAACACTCTCCCAGTGCCATTTCAATGCCTTTATGGTGGTTATTCAAGACAGTTTTCAAGTTTAGAAATATTTCCTGGGACTTCAGTTTCTCCCTTCCAGTGACATCTGTTAGTTGCCGAATTCCAAATTTAATTTTTTCGATTTCGTGATTGTGGCTACTTGCTCAAGATAGCACTTTTTTTTCTTGAATTGTATTGTAATCTTCAATTACTGTTTGCTCATACTACCAGAAGACAAAGATTATTGACTTTTTTTGTATGTTTGTCTGTTTGGTTGGTTTTGGTACCAAGGATTGAACCACTGAGCAATATCCCCAACAACAACAACATCATCATCATCATCATTATTTTACTTAGAGACAGGGTTTCATTGAGTTGCTTAGGGTCTCACTAAATTGATGAAGCTGGATTTGAACTCCTGACCCTCCTGCCTTAGCCTCCCCAGCCACTGGGATTACAGGCCTGCACCACCATGCCCAGCTTGACATTTTTATCCTTATATGCTGCACCTAAAGGAGTTCCTGAAACAGTTTTTCAATGATAAACTTTAAGTAAATCAATGAATGTAAGGAAATAAGAATTTGAAACCTGAAGTCCTGATTTGGGTCTGTGACTGCCCATAGGCCAATTGTATAGTTGTGAATACTCATACAGGTCATTTGGTCTCCTTATTTTCATCTGTAAAATGGGAGTAATATTATCTGCCATCACTAACTCAGGCAAGTAACAAAATCAAATAATTTTCTTTTTTTTTTTTTTTTTTTAGTACTGGGGATTAAACCCAGGGATGCTTAAACCACTGAGCCACATCCCCAGGGCCTTTTTAGTCATTCATTTATTTATTTATTCAATTTTGAGACAGGATCTCACGAAATTGTAAGGCCTCACTAAGTTGCTGAGGCTGTCCTTGAACTTTCAATCCTTCTGCCTCACCCTCCCAAGTTTCGGTAATAATAAGCATGCACCACCACACCTAGCTGAAAGCACTGTTTAAACTACTTAGCATTCAACATGTGAAAAACTGTATCTTCTTATAGTCCTCAAATTTTCTTCAGGAATCAATTCTTAGATATCTCCTGGACGTGACAGCCATAAATATTATAAAATACCCTACTGAAAACTAATACTACTTAACAATGCTCTCACTCTATATCTGGCTTTGTAACTACAATGGGTTGGTCCCTTTGGTGGTGCCTCTTATCCTGTTCACTGAGAATGTGTGTAGGTGGCCTTCTAGATTACTTTCTAGAAAGTGCTGTTTGGAGTAATGCTGAAAGTAGATACCATCTCCATCCTCTTTGGCCCACACCCTTTATAACAAGGTACGTTGGTTCCTTCATTCATTCAACAAATATTTATTAGTGGCTGCAATTGCTGAGCATTGGTACTGGAAACACTGCAATGAGCAAGATGGGCAAGTCTTGACACTTAGTTAGCTGTCCTAGTAAGAGAGAGAGACTATAAACAGGAACATAAACAAGAAAAGACAGTAGAATGTTGGCTATAGTAATTGGAGTAAGCCATTTAGGACAGGACAAACAGGCAAGACTTGTCTCAAGAAGAGAGTTTTGAGCAGGGACCTGCCATGAAATAGGCTGTGGTTATTTGGCAGAAGGGAGATCATGCAAATACTTGAGGTCGAGTGTGCTTGGCACTAGTGATAAACAGCAAGAAAGTGCAGGAAGTGGAGTGATAAGAGGACAGAGAGAGCACGGGTGAGATCATATCCAGTCTTCTAGACACAATAAAGCCATTTGGGTTAGATTCTGGAAGAAATGGGAAGTACATGGAGTGTTTTCAGACGAGAACAACAAGATTTGATTTCAGTTTTTAATCACATTCCAATTGCTGTGACTTGGGTTTTTCAGGGACTAAGGAAGGTCTCCAGTAACGAGACCATGGTGGCTTAGAGTAATTAATGGCGTAGAGGCAGTGTATGGTCCAGGCATATTTGAAGATTGAATTGCCATAATTTGTTGGTGGACTAGATGTGGATTTTATTGGTTTCCTTAGACCACCACAAAAAATTATTACAGCCAATCGGTTATAAGAATAGAAATATATTCTTCCCCAGTTCTGGAGGCCAGATGTCTAAAATCAGCAAGACCTCTCCAGAAGCTCTAGGGAAAAATACTTTTGTGTTTCTTCTAGCTCCTGGTCACTCTCAATTGTTTCTTAGCTGGTGCCAAAATAACCCCAGTCTCTGCCTCTGTCTTCACATGGCCTTCTCTCCATGCCCCTGTGTCTTGAGTCTCCCTCTGCCCTTCCCTTACAGATATATCCATCATTGCACTTAGGACCCAATCTAGATCCAGAATGATCTCATTTCAAGATAATTGAGAGTCTTACAAAGATTATTTCTAAATAAATTCATGTTCAGAAGTTCCAATTGAATATATCTTTTGGAGGTCACTATTCAGTCCACTAAATGGATAGAGACAGAAGTCAACTAAAGTTAAGATTATAAGATGGTCTTTGGAATGGTTAAACTTGAATTACATTTATAGTTATTCTATGTTTTACTTACCACTTTTCATTTGAATTTCAAAAGAACTTTGTGCAACTGAAAGATTCCTGAAGAAAATCTGAGAACTATAAGATACAGTTTTTCACATGTTGAATGCTAAGTAGTTTAAAAAGTGCTTTCAGCTGGGTGTCCAGTATTAGAAATATGGAAACTAAGGCTCTGATAATTACATGCAGATGGAGTTGGAACCCAGAATTTATAGATGGTACTCCAACTGCTTTCCTGCTTTTCAAGTTGTAAGGTATGTTCTTAGATGTCAGCCAATGAGGACAATTATAACTTAATGGAAGAACAAAGACTGCTCAGCATTTTAAGTGTTGCTAAAAACTCACCAAGATTTTCTTTATAGGAATTCTAATACATACTAGAGATCATTTGTGTCTTGTGATGAAACAACATGACAGTAGAATTTTGCCTTTCTTGCTCAAAAATATAGGCAAACAAAACTTTTTTTTTTCATTTGAATTAAGGGTTTTTTTCTAGGTCAATTCAGTTAATGTTTTATTCTTAAATATTCTTAAGGCAGTTCTTGATGTTTGTAATGCTCATATAAATATTCAAATATGTATTTCCAGGTGGGAAAAGGATGAGGCTGAGACTCAGCATCTGCTGCATAACCAGCAGTGTAGTCAGAACTGATTCTGGTTTAAGATGATGAGCCCTGCTGAGAGCACAGCCCTCAGTTTTGCAGCCCATAGAGCACTTCAGCAGGTGCTCTGGGGTACTGGCCCACACGTAGACATCAGGGGACTCCGATCATGCCATGCTAAGAGGATATGGCAAAGGTTGTCTCAAACATTGCATGGGATTCACTTGTACTAAAAAAGTTATCCATCATTAATCTGAAATTCAAATGTAAAAGGCAAGCAAGCCAGGACTTAAGAGTGTAAAAGGCAATAGAGTGTATATTGGGACATTAACTATGGTAACAAAAACCTAGATCAGAGTTCTCACTCTAGCACCAGCATAATCAACAACTAACTTTGAGAGTGTCACTTTAACATATTCTATATTCCTTCACTATAAAGTGGGACAAATATTCCTATTAATACCTACTTCATAATTTCTTAATTGAAGATTAAATTACTTAATGTGTGTGAAATATTTAGAACAGTGGCCTAGCTCTCAGTGTTAGCTCTTATTCTTAGAGCTTATAATTGCTTAAATATTCATCTGACAATTACTTTTAAACCAACAAGACTTAATTAATTGAGCCTGAGGTATAATTTCCAAATTGTTTTCTTGTTTGTTTTCAACCAAAGAAAATTTAGTTATGTAAGAGGTGACTATACTTCTCAGTTTATCTAGGACACTTCCACTTGATAGTCATCCAAGAGTAATTATTAAAACTACCGATAACCTTTGCCAGAATTTTATTGAAATTTTTGCGTCTATATTCATTAGATATATTGGTCTGAAGTTTTCTTTCTTTGATGTGTCTTTGTCTGATTTTGGAGTCAGGGTAATATTGGCCTCACAGAATGTGTTTGGAAGTGTTCCCTCTTTTTCTATTTCATGAAATAATTTGAGAAGTATTGATATTAATTGTTCTTTAAAGGTCTTGTAGAATTGAGTTGTGTATCCATCTGGTCCTAGGCTTTTCTTGGTTGGTAGGCTTCTATTGCCTTGCTTGAAATTGATCTGTTTAAATTGTTTATATCATCCTGATTTAGTTTGGGCATATCATATGCCTC